GAACCCGGACCGCTCGATCCCGAGGCGAGCGCACTAACCAAGAGGTCACCGCGCCTGCACTTAAGCAAAATAAGAATAATCGTTCTTACCTCATTTCTAGTAACTGTTCTACCATTCCATGTCTTTCAGACTTGTAGTAAGACATAATGATATCATTTTCGTTCAAAGCGAGGACCAGGGAAGCATTCTTGGTATTGGTGACAGCGGTCTCTATGCGCACTCTTTCAATTTCCGACTCCATGTCCTCCACACGATGTGTCGCTGTCTCGGCGTTTTGAGCCTGCTGAGCCAGCAGTTCTTCCCGTTCAGCGGCGATGGATACGCTTTCAGTGAGAGCTTCTTCCAGTACTGCAATCCTCTCGTCTTTTTTCTGTAACTCGCTCTGTTGAACGATATAGCGAACTGTCAGTTACAGTGTTACTAGATGGCCATCTAAAGCTAAACGTACACTGATAAAACATAAAGTATGTTTTACATATAGGACAAAAGTTGCAAGCTATCGCCTTGTACATGTAGGTGAAGTGCAAAGTCACATCTCAACACTCATTCTGAAATACAAACTGTCGTAAGCTTGACTAGATGTTTAAGTCTGCAGTACGAGCCAAGTGGCCCATCAGGCCGNTCGCTCTGTTGAACGATATAGCGAACTGTCAGTTACAGTGTTACTAGATGGCCATCTAAAGCTAAACGTACACTGATAAAACATAAAGTATGTTTTACATATAGGACAAAAGTTGCAAGCTATCGCCTTGTACATGTAGGTGAAGTGCAAAGTCACATCTCAACACTCATTCTGAAATACAAACTGTCGTAAGCTTGACTAGATGTTTAAGTCTGCAGTACGAGCCAAGTGGCCCATCAGGCCGTAGCTTATCTCGGTTTCTGTAGCATGAAGCGACTAGGAATATTTCTACTTCCCCCTGGATGGGATGCTAGTCCATCGCAGGTTTACCCCCAGCATTAAATTCGCCGGAACTCATTTATACACCTGGGTGGAGAGACGCACTGTGAGAGCAAAGAGTCTTTCCCAAGAGCAAAACACAATGTACCGGGCCAGGGCTCGAACCCGGACCGCTCGATACGGAGATGAGCGTCCTAACCATGAGGCCACTGTAAGCTTGAGTGGTTACCTGGAAGTACTCAGTTGTCTCGTCTTTCTGATCCTCTTGTTTCTTGACTTCATTTAATAGCTGAGCCTGCTTCTCTCTCTCTAGTTGTTGATTTCTCTTCACTCCAACTAACTTCTTGCTCTGTTCTCTAAGCTGCCTGAAGACAAAACATCAACAACTTGAGAAACATCATTTAAAAGGAATATACTTAACATAAGCTGAGCACTGTGAAGTCGCGAAGACAAGAAGAACGAACGAACAAACGAACAGACGGACAGACGAACGAACGAAAGAACGAACAAACGAACGAAGAACGAACGAACAAACGAAGAGCGAAAGAACAAACGAACGAACCAACAAACGAACAAACGAACGAAGAACGAAGGAACGAAAAAACGAACTAAAAAACAAACAAACCAACAAACAAACGCACAAACGAACGAACAAACGTACAAACGAACGAACGAACGCACAAACGATAGAAAGGAACGAACAAACAAACGAACGAACGAAGAAACGAACTAAGAACGAACGAAGAAACGAACAAATGAACGAAGAAACAAACAACCGAAAGAACGAACAAGCGCAGGAAGGAGTATCCAAAGTGTTCAACTCACTTTTCAAGATCACCGATTTTATGGTCTTTAACTTCGCAGTCATCTGACAACTGCTGGACTTTCCACTTCTGTTCTTTCAGCTCTTCTTGCAGTCTCTTCACATCGCTTTCCTTGCTTCTAAGATCTGTCTGTTGTTTTCTGATGTCCTTCTCTAGCTTGGAGATTTCAAGTCTTTTGCTGCTCAGTTCAGATGACACTTGATCATCACTGCTGCTTCTCTGAAGATTGAAAATAACGCAAGAAATTGTTCATTGATTACTTTCCTAAAGTTTGTAAACGGCTGATTATCAACTTGAATTTTGGAGCGTTAGTCTTTGTTTGCTCCGTTGTAGAGCACATGCAGTGTTAGCCTACAAACCTGGTTTATTTGTTCCTCCAGCCGTCTCACTGTTTCTTGAGAGGACGCTAGTTTGACGGTTTTGTCTTGTAACGATGCCTTCAGCGACGAAATCTGGTTCTCCAGGTTAGCAATGTCCTCCTACAGGGCAAAAGAAGTAAATATAACGAACTGATATTATTGAATGATACAAAAACTAATTTCCCGTTTCTCTGTTTTTATAATTATCAGTTCCTGGCTAAGGAACATACAGGTTTATAATCCATCAAAAATATTCGCTCGCATGCGATTGGTCTAAACGCGTCACGTAACTCAATACCCCCGTCAGTTTTCCTCGAGCTTCGCTCTCGGAAAGCTGTTCGCTTCTCGAAAGAGATAATGTCCACGGTCAAATAGCCGAGCATATTTTCGCGCCAAATGGAGGCTATTGTTTATGTAGTACAGTGGAACTTCGATATGATGAAGGGTCAAGGGACTGGCAAAATATGTTCGCTGTAACGAGGTTTCGTTGTATCGGGGTTCTTTTCCACACGTTTTACTATTATTGGAGCGAGGAATATCGTTCGTTATACCGAGAACTTCGTTATATGGAGGCAGTTCGTAAAATCGAGGTTCCACTGTATCAGAACATAACGCAAGCACTCTGAAATGCAGACGAAATCACACATACATCCTTATCAGCCAGTTGCTCCCTCAGAGAGAGCGAGAGCGAAGCTACTCTTCCTTCAAGTTTTTCGTTAGCTCGTTTGACTCGGTTGATCTCCTCTTCATTTTCTGCCCCACTCCGCTCCCGCTGGGTCTGTAATATCTCTATATGTCTTTCCTTGTCGCGGATGGTCGCCTCCAGATTGGAGATGGTACTAGACGAGCTGGAATGCTCAGCCTTGACAGAAAACAGTTGAGCTTTAATGCTCGAAATGGAGGCATCTTTCTCCTGTAAATCTCTTTCGAGGCATTCACACTAGTTGGAAGAAAAAACAAAGAATGGCAAAACAATAAGCAAACACTAATACTGGAAGAGAAGTCACCCTGTTACCATTAAGCTTCTTAAATCAGTAGGAAAGTAGTAAGCTTTGGTTATCAAAATACCAAGAAAAGTGAACAAAGAAAGGAAAAGGCATTGTAGATGAAGATGATGTCGATCTGTCAAGAACTTTATCATAGCTAGCTGTTCACGGAACGAGCCATTATTGTATAAATGTGTAACTTGGACAATCCGCAGGTGTACCTCCTCCTTACCTTTTGTTTCAAACTGGTAATCTGCCTTTCCTTGGTACTTAGTACACTCTGCAGGTTCTCCACTGCGTAGGAATTCTCCGAATGTTCTGAGGATACTGAGAGAAGTTTCTTCTCCTTCTGTTTTAACAGATCTTCTCTCTCATCTAATCGACTACGCAAAGATTCCAGCTGCCGTAAAATAAAAACAATCAATTGGAGGATCAGGCATGAACAAAACAGTTTTTATTTTCCTAAGGTTTGGAGAAGCTTAAACTGAAATTAAACATTAATTTCTGACATGGATTATTCGAACATACCCTGAATTGGACTTATTAAATTACAGTTCTTAAATGTTTATTGTGCTATTACTTATCAGAAGTGAGGATTCACTGATTGACAAAATCGTTTTTTTTTTTCTCTCAACTTTTTCCATAAGCAAGCTTGTTATGTCAAACTGGTATTAAAAGTGTCATCTATTGATATTTGGAAAACCCAAATTTACTGCAATATTTATGTTATTGTTACTAATACCGGGAGTCATTCCAATTTTCAGGTTTTCTCAATTTTATTCATTTCTGTAAACTACTTTTACTAGCTTCCTTTTTTTACGATTTTAATACAATTTGTATTGTAAATAGTTTTGCGCTGTAAATAATTATCATGTAAAATTTTAGTGAAGAATTATAATGAGCCCAACAAAATTAGTTTTATTTTTTTAAAAATAATATTATTATTATTGTTGTTATTATTATTATTATAACAATAACTATTATAATAATAATTGAAGGGGTGAGTGCAAAACCATGCTAAGTGACGATTTGGGTGAAAAAAAAAATTTTCGCGAAAGGGCTTGAATTTTTGCATGCGG